AGAGGTGGTGGAGGCGGGGGGGAAATCTACAGGGATATAAAAAAATCCTATATAATTTAAGTTCCATTTCAGGTATTGTAATCTGAGCTCTATAGGATTTAGCTGTTCATGTGAAACAACAAAAAAGAGAGGTAAAATTGACGGTGGGGGGAGGGGAAGGGGGTAATGCTGTTACATATGGCACTTTCCATCCCATTCTAAACCAGTATGAATGGGAGGCTAAAAACCAGTTATTTCAAGCATTCACAGTATTGCTAACTCTCCTGATTTTTGGCATTGCTCTTAAAGTCTATGCTTCAGGAATGTGAAAACCTTAGCTCAAGCTAAGTTTGGTAATCGAGCAGGAATTGGTGATCCTTCCCTTCCCTCTGTTACTTTTGAGAAGAATCAATGGCAATGCAAAGGTAATGTCTGCTCATGTTTATAGAGGTAAATAATTTCAAGGACGAGACAATCTAAATGGACAGCACTGCCTCATTTTTGCATATTATCTTCCTGAACAAAAAAAAGATGCATCAGATTTTTGGGAACACAAACAGCGGTAGAAAAAAAAAAAACCCTCCCCACAAGCCTCTCTTCACTCTCAGCTCTCCTTCCTGAGACGGGAAGTGAAGTGATACTTAGGGTAACTTCAACCTGGCGACATCTAGCACACACTGCAAATTCAGACAAATTTTAAGTCATGATTCTAGGAAATTACATAGACTCAGAGCAGGGCTGCATTCAGTAAAAAAATCTCAGCCTGATAGCTTCCTACGCATATTAATACAATTCTGAGCTGCCTGCCCTTTGAAACCAACAGGCTTGCAAGCCACCGAGAGCTTTTAGCTGTCTACTTCAGATGCAGAAGAAAAATGAAAAAGCATCCCTTTTCCCAAATCTCTGGATCTGAGAGTACTTTAAAGAAAGGATCGCTGTTTCCAAGATTGCTTTATCTGCAATGAACATACTGAACAATTTAAAGGCGCAGTCTACAGTTAAATGCTCTACTGGTATAACCATCTCATTTGGGTACGTGGTTTTCTTTCCCCATTCCTAACTAGCCTAGCCAATCCGACAAAAAAAGCCTTAATACAAACACAGTTGCTCCCTTCAGAGAACTTGCACAAATTAAATACAAGAGCAAAAGAACCACTTGGTTGGCATAAACTGCATCTCCACTAGAGGGGGTTGCCAGACTAAAAAAAAAAGTGTTTTGTTTTGATCAATTTAGGGCTTTTTGTGCAAGAAAAGTATCTTCAGAGAACAAGGAGCTCACACCCTTAAACAAAGGCCAATAATTATGGACATTTGAACCCTATCTTCTAAATGTACACAAGTTGTAATGCATCCCCTTCCTGCTGCAGTCACTGCTATTGGTCAATTTAGTATCTATCAGAAACAGAGCTGAAATAATCACAAATGCAAACAAAGAAGGTGGCAGAGTTTCCTTCATCCACAAATCCATTTTAGTATAGCCTTCCTAAAGGCCGAATGCAAAGCGGTTGGCAGTGCTGGCCCACAGCATACCAACAATTACGGTTCCGGAAGCCATACCCCCATTTTTCAGTAAGGATTCCTTGAGGCCCCGATGACAGCCAAGAGTCTCAGCAAAACAACTGTGCATTTCGTTTTCTGTCATTGAAAGGAACATCTGCATTAAAAAGAGGATGTTTAAGAATTGATCTGCTCCTGCTACGTAGTTCAACATAAAGCGATCTCACATTATACCAGTGGACTGACTGCAGTGCAACCACTTATGTCATCATTATCAAAGCCAGATGACTTCATATATGGAAACGAAATGTGTGGGAAGGTGGAGAAATACAGAGAGGACCCCCCAAAAATGGGTGAAGTCTTGGAATCAGTTCTTGGTTATTCTTCTGTTTTAGACGCAACATTTTTATAAGTAGGAACCTGCTCTTTTAGGTGATTAAATATTTGACTAACTCACTTTGCAGCTTGAGTCTAACCTGGCTGCCCCTTACAATCTGGAAAACACCGAGAAGACTGAAGGGATCCAAGCCTGATCAGTCAGGCAACAGATCAATAAAGACAACAGAAACCTTCCTGTGGAGAAAAGCGAGAATAAGATAAGCCTAAAGTACTGAAGTCATTTTCCTTAGGGAAAAGCAGAAACTGCTCATGATACTACCTTGTGACACAAGGGGCTGTAAATTATTATTATTATTATTATTTTTTTTTTTTTATATATACATGGCTCAATTCTCTCTGCTGCTTTTTGCTGCAGAAGACAGACAGCGCCAAATTCAGTCCTTATAACCATGGGCGCAACGTCCATTTACTGCTGACACCATAGCTGAATTTGGTGTAGAAGCTAAAGACCACAGTGCACATTTTCCATCTACCTTCTTTCCACAGCAAACAAAATCTAATCATTTAGACCTCAGGGAACGCATCTCTCTGTGACCAAGATTATAACCTACTGCAACAAAAATTCCTCACTAACTGGTTGTCTAGGGAAAGCTTCAGAGATGCACAAGGCCCAACTGCTCTACTACTCTGGGACCCCACTCTGTCATCTGTCAGAATGATTGCAGATCCCACGGATTTCATGAAATGCAAATCTTGTCT